GTTTCATCAACGGAGCCGGCTCACACTCCTTCACATGCAAACACAAGCACACTGTATTTGAGGAAACAAGTGCACACATGGCGGTGACTGGACCGTAGCCCGCTCCACAGTGAGTGCATGGAACCACTCTTCGAGCCTAATACGGTCACAAGGACCGTGCACCCTGTCCCCTCCAGCAATGAGGAAGAGTCTCATGGAGCTAGTATGGACAAGGTAGTGGGTAACAGACAGGTAGGTACCTTGTCAACATGCACACCAGACGCAGCCACACCGGTGATATCAAGCAACAGCCAATCACTTGAAACGACAAGAGGAAATAAAATAAATTGGATAATGCATACGGATACAGTGGCATAACTCTTAAATAAATGGGCGCATGCACAAATTTTTTACGAACGAATCCATGATAAGTTGTATTAAGAAAATATATTGTAAGAAAATGACACAAACAGGAAAATGTTATCGAAACTAACTACAATAAGCTTTAGCAACATGTGCAAGTTTATAGAAGATACTTCAGGAAGAGATTAAAATGAGAAAGGTAAGCAGCAGGACACAATTGCAAACCCACCACTTGTAATAAAGAAACAGCATGCAAGCAAGCGGTTAGTAAATCGAATGCAGCGTACCTACGAAAGCTGAGCCGGTTCCGCCTACGTTGCCAGCAGGATCCGTCGTCGCCTCGGTGGTGGTCCCGATTGGCCTCGCTTGTGGCTCACTAGGCCTACCTGACTCAGACACTCGCGACCGCATGTGCTACAGCACCAAGCACTCGAGGTCGATGGAGTACAACCAATCGGTGCTTGCCGCTTCTTCTCTGCATGCATGAGGTCTTTCTCCCGCATTTGGGCAATTGCTTTCGTGAGCAGATCGCACCATGCATGACGATCAACCGCCTTCGATTCCCATGACCCGCAATCAAAATTAGCGAGTGAGAGGCTCACTTTGATCATGTCCTGGTAACGTAAATTTGATTTCCTCGCATGCCGCTTCCCAATACTCAGCTGACCATATAATAGTTGTTTCGGTATCCGCGTCGAATCCATATGCCACACATGACCGAGCCACCTCAGGTGTCTCAACAAAAGTATGCAGTCCACTGCATACATTCCACTTCTAAGCAACACTTCTGTATCCGCAACTCTGTTGCACTAACCGATGTGCGGAATACGTCACAGACACCTGATAAAACTGCTCGAGATATCGCACATCCCGCCGGTACATCGTCCACGTTTCACTGCCGTATAGAAGAAGCGACAGCCCCATGGATTTGTACACCATCAGTTTCGTGCCAACGGGAAGCTGATGGTTGTTCTACATTGGGTACTCTAGCTTCCCGAATGCCGCCGTTGCGTTCAAGACGCGGATAAGCAGTTTACTATGTCGCTGCTGATCAGTCGAAATCACAGTCCCGAGATAGCAGAAGCGGGAGGTGGTTACCAATACTTCAGCACCAATACTGGTTTTCGACATTATTGAAGATTGCACCTCCGGTGAAAGCTGAAACAGACAGACAGTTTTGCTTGTGTTGATGGTGAGCCCAAATGTTGCCGCTGTCGAAGCCAGAGCACTAGTCATGTGCTGCAACTCATCCGCGCTGTGTGTAAACAATGCACACTCGTCAGCAAACAGCAGCATACGGATAATTGTCATACAGAGCAGAGTTCTCGCACCGAAACGCCGGATGTTCAGCAACACACCATCAGTACGGTGCTCCACACTAACGCTGTAAGAACAAGTGGCATCAAAAGCACAAGACACCATTGCATGAGGAAATATCTTAAACAGGGCAGGAGCTAAGACACAGCCTTGCTTCACACCAGAGACAACTGTAAAGTCATCCTAGCTTTCTCCACTCAGCTGCACCCTCGCTTGCATACCACTTTGCAAAAATGCACTTAAAATTCCAAATTTACTCGGACAACCAAACTTACCCAACACCAGCCACATTGCCTCGCGTTTCCACGTATCAAATGCCTTGGTGAAATCAACGAAAACCGAGTGCAATTGCTGGTGTCGTTCTCTACACTTCTCCTGCAACTGACGAGCCGCAAACACCATATCTATAGTGAGGTGAAAAGAACAAACTCACACTGCTTTTCCGTCACGAGGCGATAAAGCAGAATTCGGGCAATCACCCTGCCAACACAACTCATCAGTTTGATGCTAGATACACGTCTTCTTAAAGCGTTCTAATTGACTAGAAATGTAACTCGGTTTGTTTCACACACTGCATATGTTACTTTGAGTGCCAGATACAATTCACCCGCGGAACCTATTGTTTGACGATTGAATAAACAACAGGTAACTGTGAAAAATGGGTTAGGAGAGTCACTGAACACATCTGGTTTGCAGCTGTTAAAATAAGCTTGCTCGGTAGTGTCAAGTACATCATTCAAACGAGACTGTTTATGTCGTAAGACAACAGTATAATTCACTGTAGCAAACTTTTGTAAAACATAATTTCTGCTCGTCAAACTTCGGGGTTGAGGTATTCCTGTGTATACATTAAGGTCCCCTGAAGTTTATTGAACATACTTTCAGGATTGATAGAATTAACACAATCCTATCACCGTATCCGACAGTGAATGATTTGTCGTCTAAAACTAGAAAGACTGCACCATCGAAAAATCTCCAATTCCATGATTTAAATGCCAGAGTACAATAGATAAAAACAAATAACTCAATGAAACAGATAGAAAACTCGATAAATAGAGAGAGCACTTGCTTGATTGCTAAAATTATAAATAGTTCAAAGTAAGAAAATATATAGATGGTAAAGAATGGTAGCTCTGATGTAACCAGTGCTTCACTTGCATTTCTGGAGAAATCTAGCCAATGCTGGTTCTTTTTGTTCAAACGTTTCACAATCAAGTAAGCCAGTATTTCGATTTCTGCTGTTTCTGATTTTTGATTTCATTTTCATTGGCATTCTGGACATTCTGGATCTTATTTAGGCGGAGGAATGCAGTTTGATCTGTTACAATGGTCCAGGATACCTGCTCCTACTTAATACTCATCCTACTAAGCGTTTCTAACGTCTGATTCAGGATCGGATTCACGTTGTTCTGCTTTTGTAGCGTTTCTTTGACCTAACAGTGCATGGTTTCTTCCATGTTTCTTCCGTGAACTCCTGTGTTAGCCTTTTCGTTTCCATACAGTCAGTAGTTCGCGTTCCACGCATTTCTGACGAATAGCGGAATGTATACTGGTTCCATTGAAACCACTTTAAGGCAAAACAATCTCATGAAATGCTCTTGCATACATTACTTCTCCCACTGCAACATGCGCTTAGAACATACCGGACTATCCGAACAAGTTATTCACTCCGGTAACTTCGCAGATGCATAGTTCTCGACTGCGTTCATCATGCTACTCGATGAAACTAGTCCTCAGAAACAGTTCTGGAAAATGTATAAAATACTGGGAATCGACATTCAGCATTAAGGATTAACAAAACTGGCCTGATACTTAAAACACTTGCGGGTGCTGTAGTGCGGATACGCTTCTATATGGCGCTTATATATAATCGCTTTCATAGTACCTTACCTTAGATGGACAGGACGTGTAAGCGGTAAATTTACCACGCAATTCGCAGGATGGACAACGCGATTTAACTCTAGGCTCTTGACACCTGTTTGTTCGCCCAATCGCTGTTCCGTGGTGACATGGCAACCGACGTAGCCATTATGTACTTCGTAATACGTATGTCGGAATCTCACTGGGGATGACCAAACCAGTCCCCTGCACCATCTGATGAACGCCGGCTTAACGAGAATCCCCAACGTGATCTCATATCGAAGTTGCCATGGCTTCAGTTTGCCTCTCACTGTAGAAACCGTTCGTTATCACATTGTGCAACCGGTTCAGACCCCACACACACATCAAAAACTTGTAAAATTCTCCGCCCCAGGGGCACATACCTCTAAGTTCCTCACAAGCCTCTGGTTTACGGAGGCAGAAAGCCACCCCAAAAGTATAGACCAACGCATTTCCCTTCATACTATATAAGGGAAACAAATGGGCCAAGGGTTGCAGGACCTAATAAAAGAAAGGTGGCAGTACCATTGTGGACTCTGTATTGGGTGACTTGATGTACGGTAATAAGTGCAGTTTGCAGTCTATTGGACATTGTGATTACCAGTTGTTTTTTAACTGCACAGGTAATGTCGAGGTGTGTACATTTTGCATTTGATTCCTATTTGTGTAGTATCCTAGTTAATGTCTCGGCTTCCTTTCTTGTTTGGATCAAAGGATTTGTACGCGTCAAGTAAAATCTTAAGCGAGTTTGTCGCTCACAGTAAGTAAACACCTTAAGTACTAAGGAAGCAAGTTATAGAAGAGCAGTAGGGGGAGTCGAATGTTATAGGTAGAAATTCGTCACATGATTCTAGATGTGACGAATTTCTACCTATAACGTTCAACTCTCCCTACCACTCTTCTATAAGCAGTACGCAGACCAAACTGCTTATAATGCCATAAGTTAATTGGCGGCTTAAGTTTGGTAAGCTCGTCGCTTGGTGAGGGGGCTACCCTGTCCTCTGCACGGCAGTAACGTGTAAGTCAATGGATAGTGAGCGGCGCTATATCACATCTAGTAACTTATTTACGATGGTCGTTGCTGTCCCCCGTAGCTCAGTGGTCTCAACCACGGACTGGCAACAATCGAGTTGCGGGTTCGAGTCCTACCAGGGTCCGATGAAATGTGCACTGCTGACGATTATCGAAACGATGAAACGCGCGTACAGTGCTTTTCCGGGAGTGTGAGGGCTGTCTGAGTGAAGCCAGTTATATACGCCGCATGAACTCCATCCTCTCAATCAGTGCTGTTTAGAAGAAACGAATAACCATGTAGAAATCAATCATTCCCAGGTATTTACTACCTGCACGTGGACACTATAAATGAATAGACTTGAGTAAAAGCTACTGTCTAATATCCGACAAGCAGGAATTGTTGACTTCTGTTTTGCACTGTTTTGAAAAATTCTAAGTAAACTCACCGGTCCTACAATAGGCTTCTTGCACGCAAAGCAGAGTCCTTTAGCAGTTGTGACAGCACCTCTTTGAGACATTTCGGTGGACAAATCATTCAGCATGTTTGAAAGCATATTTTTCGGTTCTGAAATAAAGCGGGAACCTTTTGCCGAGGAATGTGGTTCAGGACGGTCTATTATGGGCTTCTTTTCAGTAGGTGCAGGGCGACCATCTACTTTTGGCACGAGCTTGGTAGGGTGTCGCTCAACGGCTTCAAATTGGTTAGAAGTATATTCGGGATCCACGGAGATTCCTGTCATTGAATTGGTCTGAGCGTACTCTAATTTCGTATTGTTATTATACCTTTGCTGTTGATCTAGCTGAAAGTACAAATTGTGGATAGTTAAATGCTAATTTTGGGAACGGTTTCACAACGAATCCACTATCAGTCAAGGAAAATGTTCAAGAATGTCATATTTACTGACACAAAGAGCGGTCTTCGAATAGAGCTGGTTCAAAGGACCAAAATGTTATCTCAAGAGAGAGCATAATATGTCAATAATGTGTCAGATGTACACCGCAACGGCGCTTCGTTGCCTTGCGACAAATACTAGTCGCACGCGGACTGAGTATATCGTGAGGAGACCCGACCCTACACGGATTTGAACCGGCGCCGCAAGAGAGAACAACCTTACCAAGTTTAAGACCAACAAGGGGCTATATGTCCAATACAGTGGGCCTGGGGCCAAAATAGGCGAGAAATATACTTGCTTTCGTGAACTGACGGATTACTGAAATGCGCTAGAACAGGAGTGTGAATGGCATTTTATTCTATGTGACTGAATCACATCTCATGGTAGACATTAATTGCACTTAATCGTTATGAAACACGGTTAGTTAGCGTGCGCGTATCGACCTGACATCAATAAAAAAGCACATGATGAATGTTGGCAAAACGAAGCACATGAAAATTTCGAGCAAAATCCAGCAATGATTATGGGCCTACTCTGCGCAGTAGATTCGGTCCATATCCGCTTTGAAATGGAAATACTAAGAACCGGTTTATACATATGTGCCACATTTAACGAAGGAAATTCGGGAATGAAAAATACTAATTCAAAGAACATCTCTATCGGCTTCTCATTGGTTGCACTGCCGAACTTTTTATAGTGCACGGCGAATTCGCATACTCGTTTTAACCTCCAGCCGATAACGCATTGCTTCGCAGCACCCCAGCTAACAGCAGCATGCGAAGGTTATTCTGAATTGCTGATTAACTGCTACCTATACCTAATTGCTCTCGAGATCACGCTGGAGCTTTAAGTGGTCGTTCAGTTCTTTGATCACTCGCCATAACTTGGTATCAACCGCGAAGAGTAGGAAATCAGAAGTAATTTCCCTCACCAGATGGTTTATGAAAATTAAGCTTAGACGGGGCCCGATCACCGAGCCTTGTAGTACGCCGCAAACCAATTCAGTTGCGTCGGACAGGGATCCTTGTACTCTCACCACCAACAGAGGTTCCTGTAGAAAAGCGGCTATCCAACGCAGCAGTAGGTCGCCAACGCCATACAGCTAAAGTTTATGGAGGAGAATTCGGTGGTCTAAGCTAACAAATGCTTTTGAGAAGTCCAGGTAAATAACATCAACCCCTGCTCCACCATCAACGGCTTCAGTCCAGCTACTGCGTGCAATTAGATGGTTCATTGTGTATGAGCGCTTTTGTCGGAAGTTTTGTTACTCTGATGCTATCATGTGATTTTCCAGATATACATGAGTGCATCAGTGAAGATAGAATCCATAAACTTTGAAAGTACAGTGCGTAGCGTTCTAGGACGGTACTCAGTTGAGTCAGTGCAACTACCTCCCTTATAAATAGGAGTAATAACGCCTCGATGCCATATTGTTGGAATATGGTTCTCCTTCATACAACGCTGATAGAATATAGCCAGAGGTGCTGCCAGATCACTGGCTGATGCCTGTAAAGTTTTCGGTAGAATGTTATCGACAACAGAAGAGCCTTGGATACGCAGTTTCTTTGACAGACTTTCTGCAGTAAAACTAATATCGGATAAGAATGATGGTGGGACAATAGAGACATGCATAATTGTTGGGCCCGGTACTCTCTGTAACGTTTGTGACTAATGGAACCGTAAGAGCTCTGCTGCTTCGGTTGCTGAACGCGTGCATCCGTCAGTCGTGATCAGAGCTGGAATTCCGAGTCGCACCATACGAAGGGCATTAACTTGCCTGCATAAGTGTATCGACGCTAATGGATTCCATGAACTAATATTTCTAGTACAACTGTGCAATTCAGGACACGCAAACCAAAGTGATAAGTAACGATAGCAGCGACCATAAATGTCGGTAAATGGAGACAATTTCAGAAAGAGTTAAAGATATTGTTGGCGGCATTTCGGTTGATGGACCTAGATTTATCATAGTCAGTCCCCCTCGCACAAACATACTACTGCAATGAATCCATATGTCATGCAAATGGAATTGGATGTGTTCAAAAATACACTTGGCGTGTTGAGTGATTCGCTTGGCTCTGGTATTTCCCTTGTGGTCTCGAGGTGCCAATCACATGTCGAGAGCATATGTACCACCTAATTAAGCGACCCCCGACGTCACCGCTACGTACCACTAACCATCACCGAGTAAATAGCTCGTCACGGTCTAGTTCAGTGGCACCTAACGGCTGAAAAATTGTTCCCCTGAGTGATACAAAGCTTCCTTTAAATGCTTCTCTGAGAATCTTTTAAATTGTTGACAAAGAGCTGTCGTACTTTGTTTCACATTGAGACAGCACATTGCACGTAAATAACGAGTTAGGAATTGCATGTGTATCCCTTGGGGATCAGTTACTGATGCACCGGAGGCACTGGACAGATACAAGCATCAATCATCCAATGAACAACTAGCAAAGATATGTTCCATGTAAATGAGCTTCCGTTTTACAAGTGGCGTGAGTGGTCTTGTGGAAGTTTTCATGGACTTGGCACCTTCTAGTAAAAAGACATTCATTCCTACTTGTTATGGACGTATATGACCCGTTCTTTGCTGCCTTTTGCAACATCTATTGATGTCAGCTAAGACATGCAGAGCTTTATATCTGGGAATAGAAAGGGCATAAATATCTGCTGCCATATGTGAATGACTAAGTACCCCTTCTTAACCATTCTACGTGTAGATGTTTTTGGTGGAGAAACGACTGACTCATAAGTGCGTTCTATTGCTGAGGTAAAAAGACAGAATAATTCTGTTGGATTTCAAGTGAATGCACTGCCCTGTTATACTCCGTGACTATCCTCTCTTGCTAATGTTACCGTTGAGCGGGACGCACAACTAATTTTAAGTAGGATCAGGCAAACAATCTGCAAGTCACCTTCCAATCAGTCAAAACATATAGTGGAAACTCCCGTGGACTTAAATGTTCACTGATACTAATGAGCAAATCTACCGATAACATCATGGTTGTCCGAAGTTTTAAAAGCCTTAACACAATATAATAATATTTTAGCCTTAGGCACTTGGTCTGCATTAGGTATTCAAAGTAGGGATGAACATTAGGGTTGGGACAAAGTGGGTGATGAATCAATTGATTCCGGCTATACAGTAGTAATCTTGTTTCTTCACATACACCAAGCGTGCGAATGAGTACCGCACAAGCGACTGTTACAAAAATTGGCGAACTTTGGGATCCGGGACCCATTACTAGGTTGGCTATGATCTTACCTACGTGATCGTTATCAAGAAGTCATTTTATGTGATTATCGCCCTTTTACGCTCAGTTACCAGTGGAGTCATTCAAGAGAGGGTGCTTCGTCCCTTACCTTTTTTGCTGTCCAGCAATAACATCATCACATCTTTAAAACATGGTACATCATTTTTATTTGCTGACGATATCAACATGGTCCATAAGCTTTGGCGTGACGAGCTTCACGTGATATTACTGCTTATTCAAGATGATTTAACTTCCCTTAAGTCATGGCACTGTACATGGGTGATGAACCTCTCGGCTAAGAAATCAAGCACCATGTGTTGCGGCTACTACATCACCGAACGATCAATCACCCTAAAAATAGGAACTCGTCCCTACACAACTGTCCACGCGAGATCTTGGAATTAAGTACTCGTCTACCTTCAATTTCTCCGAACAGGTCCAATACCAAGTAGCAGGTGTCAGACAGTCAGTGTTCAATATATCACACAAATTACACACAACTCTTGCTAGATTTGAGCTTTTCAAGCTACGCACGTGTCCCATTCCCGAATACTGCAACCTAATATACGGAAATATGAGTAAGAATGACAGAATTGCTATGGCGCACCTACAGAGGTCATTTACTAAACATCTGATTAGTAAACACCCTTTTATGAGTTATCGAAAACGTTGCGATGAACTTCATCTCGAACCACTTTGGATTCGACGATTAAAGCACAAATGTAGAGAGTCAGGTATGGCAGCTATAGCCCTTCAATAGGGGGCTATATCCAGCGGCGGTGCAAAACGAAATCGATTTTTCTAAGGATTACCGTTTAACATTCGGTAAGGTAGCCAACTCTACATCAAGCAAAGCAAACTTCTAACAGTATGATTTAGATGCACGTGATTTGGAAGCTTGACTTACTTCGCAGCATTTTGCCATTCATCTTTACTCGACTCCTTCATTCTGGCATCCATTGTAACTTATCTTTGAGGTGCTGGTACTGAGTGAGACTAATAGGAAGCGAATAGTCGGATTATGTGTATTTTCATTTCTCCATGCCGATTGTGTGTGTGTTTAAATTGATTTAGTTGCCAATATGCGTAAGGGCCACTGGATTGATATTTGCTCTGATGGCGAGATCCTGACAGATAAACGACACACCGTCGACCTATCCAGATCCTAGACTCATACTGTACAGTACTTTGTGCGGAAATAATCATGAGCTTTTGTTTTGTTTGCATACAGAAGAGATGAGCTCGTTGCATTGCGTAATCGTTTCGATAAGTGCTAAATTTTGAAGTAAACACAACACAGTTGGGAATGCATACTTTTAAAGTAGCTACTTGGAGTATTGCTAACACGTAATATACATACCCATTTTCTGAATAAAATTCTGCAGAAAGTTAAACACGAACACTGAGAGGCACGTTTCCAAGTGATATGCAGATAAGCTTCAACCCGCCCATTATTTTGTCAAAGACGTTTGTGGCCCTAGTTAAATGTAGTATTTATCTTAAAATATCGCCATCTGCCCGTTGGACCAAATAGACTTTTTATAAGCTAATGGTATATTTGGTCCTTCTACTGAAACAAGGATATAAGCGGTTTCCCAAAATATATTCGTAATTAGGAAAAAAAGCTTCAAAGACACCTGCCATTGCATTTAT